TTGAGACAAAGTCTTGCTGTGTCTAGTTTAGGAAATCTTGAAATTCTAGATCCTTGTATCTCAGCTTCTCCAGAACTGGGGCTACAGGTATATGCTACCATGACCAGCTGTGAGAACTGGTTTTTTTTTTTTTTTTTTTTTATAAAGGAGGCATTTTATTTTACATTTGTGTGTGTGTGTGTGTGCACTTGTGCACGCATGTGCATGCATATATAGTGTACTCACACCTGCAGAGGCCAGAAGAAGGTATTGGATCCTTTGGAACTAGAGTTACAGGCATTTGTAAAAGCCTAACATGGGTACTAGGGCCTGAACGCTGGTCCTCTGCAAGATCAGCAAGAAGTTTCAACTGCTGAGCCATTTATCTCCAGCTCCCAAAGGTTGATCTTAATATGGTCTTGTGCCCAGTGGCATGTTTCCTGCAGAAACAGGGAGGCAGGTGCTGAGCCTGAGTTGAAAGGGTGAGTGAAATCATCAAGAGAAGGGGATAGTTTAGAGCTGTAGCTCAGTTGGTAGACTGCTTGCCTTGCATGCACAAAGCCTTGGTGTTGTAAAAACACTGAAGAGAAGTCACACCATACAAGAGGGCTCAGAAGGGAGGTTTATTGGAAGAGGAGGGAGAAGGGGTGGGGTGGGGCAGAGACAGATCCCTGGGGAAAAGAGTAATGGAAGAGAGGGAGAGGGAAAGGAGAGAGAAAAAGATGGATGTGGCCAAAGCCCATCTTTTAAAAGGGAACATAGCAAACGTGCAGAGGGGGTGCTCTTAGTGGCTGTAGTTGAGTCAGGACCCCAGGGGCAGGCCACTACAGATGCCTGAATACTAACACTTGGGTTTCTTTTTCAGCGCCACAGGAATATGGTGTGGTGGTGCTCAGCTGTACTCCCAGTATTTGGGAGGAGAATGTAATGTAAAGCTCACTCAAACAGCTAGAGAGAGGAGAGGGGAGCATCAGGTTTTCAGTCTCTTCTGCCACTAGGCAGTGAACAGACTACCAGCAGAGCGCCCTCTAGGGTTTTAAACAGCCACTGCATCTTGGCATGTGGACTAGGGGTAAGGTTTTGTAGCAAGTAAACCTGGTGACTGGGGCTCACTTGGTGTACCAGATGTCACTCTGAGCCAGGCTGGAAGCAAAGCTAGGAAGAATGTGAAACTGGGTATCAGTGTCTGGGAATTTGCCTGCTGGTGCCATTGGTAGGGGTGTGGGGCAATGTTCTAAGTCCGAAAGAAAATTGACGATCATTAAATTCCACTGAAATTAAAGTTTAAAATTTCACCTGACTTAACGTTAAGAAACAACAATTTAGGATGTTAGTTAATTTCAAACATGAGACTGGCGACTTCTTTAAAAGGACTTTGGTGACACCTTTTCTAAGGTGGTGACTCTATAGATTTCTTTTCCCCTTTAAACTGCTAAGAAGAAAAATATCAGAAATCCAACCACTTCTCCCCAGCAAAACCAAAAACTTTCTTAAGTACTTTTAAACATTTCCCCCTCACGTGAGGCTCTCTTTGTGTTGTGCCTCATTCCTGGGCTCAGGTAGAGGCCCTTCGCCTCTGCAGCCACTGGGCAGAGTGATTCATCCTCAGCCTGCAGGAGTGGCTTCAGCCCCTTCAGTCCCAGGATGCCTGCAGACCACTTAGGACAGGTACCCGATACAGTGTCGCCCTGAGCCTAGATCAGCGTCGGCACGTGAACTGGTTTTTCTTTCTCTGGAGGAGTTCACTCAGTTCTCCTCAGAAGAACCTGGGGGTCTGAAGCGAGTGAAGCAGTTAGACGTCATGTGGAAGCTCTGTTTGGTGAAGGCCACCACTGGCTGTGGGGCTGGGTGGGCACTGTACCCTGTGTTGAAGACATGGGAGCATGCATGGTAGTGTGGAGCAGCATTTTGTTCTAGATGGTGTCAGTGTGAACTGATGGCTGTGAGGCTGAGCCAGACCTGGTGAGGCCAGCCTGCGGTACATATTGGATCCCAGTACATGGGTATAAAAGAGGGAGACCCTATATCATAAAATTAAAGCAGCAGCTTAGGGAACTTTGGGAAGGTGGGAAGCTAAGAAATATTTATTCATTTACTTCTGTGTGTGTCATGTGGCTGGTCTATGGAGACCAGAGGACAACTCATGGGAGTTGGATTTCACCTTCTTCCACGTGGGTCCCAGGGGTCAAACTCAGGTTGTCAGGCTTGCTGAGACATCTCACTGGCCAGGAAGGTGGAAAGCTAGAAACAGCTCCCATTGGAATACCCTACCCTGCATGGGGTCTACCTGTCAGTCACTGCACATGATTGATGGCTCTTTCTGTTGCCCGAAGGAAGAAAGGTCACTCTCCCTTGAGACCATAGTAGTGCAGTGGAGACTGGTATAGGCGTCAGATACAGCTGGGCTGAGCCCTGGTTAATCACTGCCTGGTGATAGGATCTTGACCAAGTTATGTAACTCCCTAACCTCAGGTTTCTCATCTGTAAACTCTGGGCTTAGTATGACAGAGCTAAAGTATTATCTCATCCACAGCAGGCACTGTAAACATTCCGCTGCCTTCTCCCTTTGCAGTGAATAAAGTGAACACTTGGGTCTGGCCAGTCAGCGTCTTCACTCCTTGTCAATTCTGACTTTACCTTGGTCAGTTAACCATGGGGAAAAGTTTAGTAAGCAAGTTGTATTTTGTATGTGTGTGTGTGAGATTCCTTTTTATTTTTGTTTTATGTGCATTGGTGTTTTACCTGTGTGTATGTCTGATCCCCTGGAACTGGAGTTATAGACAGTTGTGAGCTGCCATGTAGTACTGGGAATTGAACCAGGGTACAATTGAACAGGCTGCTCCAGAAGAGCAGCCCCTGCTCTTAACCTCTGAGCCATCTCCAGCCTATTCTAATACTAGCTCTGAACACCAGAATACCTCAGGTTTCTTTTTGCACTAAAATGCAGAGGCCTTGGGCTCATAAAATATGTTCCCTTGGGATCCTAAAACTCCAAATGGGAGCTTTTAGAAGAGAGGACTGGGTATCCTATCTGCCTATTCTGAGGTAAAAGAGAAGAGAGTCATTTTGTAGACACCCCCCCCCCACCTGTCTAGAGGGACAGTCCTTGCAAGCACCTGCTTGCACCCTCCTCTTTTCCCAGTAGGAATACGCCAGACAAAACATCTGTATCTGAGAACATGATTTGCAGGGTGGAAAGATCCAGTGTGGAAGGCAAATCTAGAGACCCAGAGAAGCTCAGATATCCTTTCTGCATGGGGATACATCTAGTACATATTTTTCTTGGTTCTGGGCAAGTAGCACCAAAGTGGGTGATGCGTTGAGTAACTAGAGTCGCTTCCTTCAGGATCTGACATTCTGATCTAGAAGTGGGCTTTTTTTTTTTTTTTTTTTTTTTTTTTTTCCCTTCTACATGTCGATCCAAGTTCCCTCTCTCCCATCCTCCCATGGCCCCCACAGATTCCCCCCATCCCATCCCCTATCCACTCTCCAGGGAGGGTGAGGCCTTCCATGAGGGACCATCAAAATCTGTGGTAGGGCCTAGCCACTCCCCTGGTCTCTAGCCCATGGGAGAATGTGCTCCCAAAGTCCATTCGTGCACTAGAGATAGATACATCCTGGTTCCATTGCCAGAGGTCCCATAGACAGCCCAGGCCTCCTAACTGTGACCCACTTTCGGGGATGGGGGAGATCTGGGCTGGTTTTATTCTGGTTTCCCAGCTATCAGTCTGGGGTTCATGAGCTCCCCCTTCTTCAGGCCAGCAGTTTCTGTGGGTTTCTCCAGTCTGTTTTTGACCCCTTTGCTCATTATTTCTCCCTATCTGCAACTGGACTCCAGGAATTTGGCACAGTGTTTAGCTGTGGGCTGCTGTGTGTCTGCTTCTGTGGGCTACTGAATGAAGGCTCTAGAATGACATATAAGGTAGTCATCAATCTCATTATCAGGGAAGATATTTAAAGTAGCCTCTCCACTATTGCTTAGATTGTTAGCTCTAGTGGCAGATTTTTCTTTAAGCCTATAATGGCTCCCTCTATTATGGTATCTCACTGACCTCTATTCTTTTCCCGACTCAATCTTCCTGCTCCCTGATATCCTCATCTCCCCTCCTTTTCTCCCCCTCTTTCTCCTAACTCCCCCCCCCCCAATTTGCTCAGGAGATCTTGTCCCATTCCCCTTCTGTGAGGAACCATGTATGTTTCTCTTAGGGCCTTCCTTGTTTCCTAGCTATTCCGGCGGTGTGGATTGTAGGCTGGTGATCCTTTGCTCTATGTATAAAATCCATATATGAATGAGTACATGTGGTATTTGTCTTTTTGTCACTGGGTTACCTCACTCAGGATGGTTTCTTCTTCTAGTTCCATCTATTTGCCTGTGAAATATAAGATTCCATTGTTTTTTTTTTTTTTCCTCTGAGTAGTACTCCATTGGGTAAATGTACCATAATTTCTTTATCCATTCTTCAGTTGTGGGGCATCTAGGTTGTTTCCAGGTTCTAAACCCTGAACATACTTGAACAGATGTCTTTGTTGCATAAATGTGCATATTTTGGGTATATGCCCAAGAGTGGAATTGCTGGATCTTATGGTAGACAGGTTCCCATTTTCCTAAGGAACTGCCATGAGTGGTTGTATGAGTTTGCACTCACACCAGCAGTGGAGGAGTGTTTCCCTTTCTCATAGAAGCTGGCTTTCCTTGTGGAGGGGTTGGCAGTTTTCCAGGGAGGGAACCCAGCTTCACACTTGCTCCATTCTGTAGCGTGTCACTAGTTACAGTGTGGAATTCCATTGTATTTGGAGTATATTGTGGGAGCCATTATTTGGGTCCATGTCTCTGTCTTGAGCATCATGGTGAAGAGCAGGGCAGGTCTTGCATTGCCTCTTCAGTGCAGAGTTTGTTTTGAACTTGTGTTCTAAGAAATGATTAATGAAACTCCAGGTGGGTTTTTTTAAAAGTGGAAATATGTTTATAGGGGTAAGTTATTATGCATACTGAACAACCTTCTCTGTTTTATGTATTTCAGGAGAATTACCCAATCCCTGAGCCAGGCCCAAACGGTAGGTCCTTGGTAAACTGACCTGACATTGTACTTCCTGATGTTGGCCTTGGAGGCCTGTGCACTGACCCCTGCTCCTCTTTCCCTACTAGTTAACGTGTTTGTTTACTTCTTTGTCCAATGACCACAATAGTTTATCTTGGCTACTGTATCAAGTAAAAGAATCAGTGATAGAAGGAGAAAAACTGAGATAACAGATTGTTGAGCTGCCCTGGGTTTTTTTTTTTTTTTTTTTTTTTTTTTTTGACGTGAAGCATGTGGACCAAAGGCAGAACCAACCCCTCTTTCCTAACAATCGAGTACCATGTCTACCAGATTAGATGCTAAATCATATTCTAGTTCTAGAAATCTACAGAACTAAATCTTGTAGTTAGCAAAAGAAACTTGTGTTAGCACACCCAAGAGGGCCAGCCCAGAACTATCTACCTGTCCAGCAGGGGTGGGAGGGGCTTCAGAAAGCCGTGTCCCTTCCTCTAATCAACCAAGCACAAGAAGTGACTGAGCATGTAGGGGCAGGGCTCCTAACACCTTTGCTCCACTTCTCTGCCTCTTAGTGTAGTGGGTGAGCCCACTGGGCTGAGCTGTCATGCAGGTTTCCTGGTGGCATCTAGACCTGGGGAGGTCATGTCAACTGTTGCCTAGTGTATATCTCTTCCATCCCAGAATCCAATTCATAGTCTATAGGACACCAGGGTGAAGGTAGGACCAATGGCCAGGGTCTTATGTCCCTCAGATTCCTTTGTTGTTCTTGATGACCTGGGATGTCTCTTTCCCCTGCCATACTTCAGCCCAGAACATCAGATTGAAGCCAGTTTTCTTGGTAACTCCTGAGCTTTGCTACTCAAAGGTCAGGTACATTATTGACTTACAGTGATAAGACATAAATAACAGCTGTTTTCTATCAGTGTTTAGCAAGCAATGCAAATGGAAGGCTTACACATTTTCACCAAGATAGCATGTCCAGAGAGGTGGAGGAGGTGCCTCGCTGTGCCCTGACAAGGTAGCTGTGGTTGCAGAGGTGGCCAAGTAAGGTGTGAAGGGCCCTCTCCAACCCAGCCTACTGCCATTCTTTTTTCTTTTTCTTTAGCTGAATTAGAAGAGAGAAGGTATGTCGGAAAGCAAGCGTTCCATTACATTAGCTCTGATCTCTTGCTGCACACAGTGGACTTCTCGAGAAAAAGCTCTGATTTCGCTAATTGATCTCAGCCTGCCATTCCTAACTACTCAATCAAAGATGGGCAAAGGCAGTTCTCCAGAGCCACTCTGGGGGAAGTTTTGCTGGTGGTTTGTGGCAAGAGCAGTAGCTAAAACATCTGAGTGCATAGCAGAGCTTTGTGCCTCCTTGCCTTTTGAAGATGGAGGGGTTTTTCCCCAGGAAAGGGGTTCATGATGGTCATCTCAGTGAGATGACCTGGGATCCTTTAGTACCTACTTGAGCTGAGAGGCCCAGGCAACATTATTGGGTACTCGACAACAGCAGTCAGTTCTAGCACACCTTAGTTGACTCACTCCTCAGAGGGGAGAGCTAAGTAAAGGTGAAACTTTTTAGAAAACAAGAACAAGAGGAACTTAACATGGCAGTTCATCATGCGGTGGCAAGCAGAGCGATTTTCAGGGTGATAAGAGTCGGGCTCAGCATGGTGTTTGGAAACAGTTATCTTCTGCAACACAGTCTGTTCTTTTAAATTATTGATATAATGCTTCCTCCTGTTACAGCAGGATTGGTCAGGGCTCTCCAAACAAACAGAACAAATAAGATATGTATGTAATGTATGTGCAGATAGAGGTGGGGAAGGAGAAGAGGGCAGTTTATTTTATGTTAGACAACTGGCTCCTATGATTGAACGATCTGGAAAGCTCCAGGTTTACAGGGCAGGGCAGGGCAGCAGACTCAGTAAAGTTTCCCGTGTTAGAGTCTTAGGAAAGTTTCTCCAGAAAATCCCAGTCCTTGCTCTGCAAAGGCCCTTCCTTGATTGGACGAGGCCTATCTGCTTTATGGAGGATAATCTGGTCCACTCTCAGTGTTATGACTTAAATGCTAATTATACCATTAAACCCTTCACAACAACCCACCCTTGTGAGCAACATCTATGGGTGTTTGACCCAGCAGCTGAGTACACTAATGCAGCCAAGCCAGCATTTAACTTACCCATCACACTTTGTTCCTTTGCTCTGTCAAGATGTTCTGCTTTCTTCAGCTTACTTAGGTACTCTGCTTCGCTCGCTTTCCTTTGTTGAGAATGCAGCTCTCTCCCCTATCCAGAAGGAATTGCTATGGCTCATGAGAGCACTGGGAGGCCTGCCTTTCCCTCACATGTTTTCTCTGCTTCAATTCTCTAACTAGAGGTGCTACTAAAGATGCATTCTGTGGGGATCTGCGGATCAGATGTTCACTACTGGCAGAATGGCCGAATTGGAGATTTTGTTGTGAAAAAGCCAATGGTACTTGGGCATGAAGCTGCAGGAACAGTCATAAAAGTAGGAGAGATGGTGAAACATCTAAAACCAGGTCAGTATAAATGTCAACGTGTGCTGCCTCGGGACCAGGCCCTCTATAAGCATAGAGGTACAGCAGTGGACAAGAGAGTGTTGGGTCCCTACATGTAGGAACCGTACCTTAAACCTGGAGAGGAGGGGTGGGGGTGGGCGGACACACATAGACTTGGGACAAAAAGCAGGCACGTAGTCATAAGGTGTCGTAGGGAATGCAGGTGTAATCAGCATGCCGTGCCATGTCTAGATCCCTATCTCCTTTGAAAAAGTGATGGAGATTGTGAAATAAGTCAGAAAACGGGGTTGAAAAAGTGTTCCTGTCATATAAGCCACAAACTGCTTTCAGAATCTAAGAATCAAGACCTTTATTTTCTTTTAATTATTCATTTAGTTTTGAGATAATGCCTCATACGGTAGCCCAGGCTGACCGAGACCTCACTTTGTCATCCAGATTGGCCAAGAACTCTTTGTAGCCCAGGCTATCCTCTATCTTAAGGTGATCCTTTTGTCCTATCCCCCAGAAAACTATTACTAAAAGCACAATAATAAGACAGGTGTGTCTTATTTCCTGTAGGAAGACTCTTTAATCATCGATCATCCAGTCAAAGTCTGTGGTGTTGAGAGAATGAGTACTCTGCACAATCAGCTTTCCCACAGTAGATCTATTCCAGCCCTATACCCTAGACCAGTGTTCTTGAACCAGGAATCAGATATCCTGCATATCAGATATTTACATTACAATTCATACCAGTAGCAAAATTACAGTTATGAAATAGCAAGGAAATAATTTTATGGTTGGGGGTCACCACAACAGGAGGAACTATTTTAAAAGAGTTGAGTTGAGAACCACTGCCCTAGAATCATTGAATTAGAAAGATCTTGATCCTCTTTTCAGATAGAGGCTCTCCTAGCCCAGCTGGCTTCCATCGTGTTGTGTAGTCAAGGATGACCTTGAAATCCTGACATTCCTGCTTCTAGCCACTTAATTTATCTCAAGAGTAGTTTAGCTTCAACAAGGCTGAACCTCACACCCAACCTTTAAGCTGGTCAACTAACTTGACTTTTTCATTCTAAAGCTGCTTCTTTATTTTAATAGAATTTTTAAAATTCTCTAACAGTTTCAGGCATATAAATAATTTTTCCCTCCCACTTTTGCCCCAGAATCCAGGAGTTCCCACCTTGCCCACCCTGTGTCTTTACCTTAAAATGAAACAAACAGGCAGAGTTCCATTAGTACTGCCTGTTGGGATGCTGACTGGTCTTGTAGACTTGACCGTGTATGGGTCTTGGCAGGTAACTACAGTTCTGAGTGCAAACAACCATGCCAGGCCCAGAAGACAGCATTTCACAGCCTTCCTCCTTATACTCTGGCTCTTATATTCCTTTAACTACCTCTTCCAAAATGATCGCTGAATCTTGGGGCAGGGGTTGGTGTAGATGTCCCCTTTAGGGATGAACACTCAAGGATCATTTGTTCTCATCACTTTGACCAGTTATGAGTCTCTGTATTAACTGCTGACTACTGCAGAGAGAAACCTTCCCGGCCAAGGTTGAGGACAGCTCTAATTAATCTATGTGTATAAACATAAATATTTAAAAGGCAGCTTGACAACACATTCATTTAGCATGACCTTAGGGCCTGTAATACAGCCTTTGAATTTTTTTTTTAATTAGATGGATAGGAAAACAGCAGTTTAGTAAAACCTGGGTTTGATTGTCCCAGAGTGCTGAGCTACAGCAGACTACATTGTCCCCCAGTACAATGAATTAAGTCTGAACTGGCTTGGCATAGGTATCTGTTACTAACTTCCCTTTGCTAATGAGGCCATTGCATGGCCTGGAGATTACTTCTGATTGATTGGAGGAGGCTGGGGCTTGGTGAGAGGTATTGTGAAACAGCTTAGTCTCTGAGACCAGACATGGAGAGGGGTTGGTAAGCTTAGAAATGTGTTTCTTTTAGGAGGCTTAAGTCAAGGCCTTCATTCATTGTTAATACAAGTTGAAAGAGCCCAAAGTGGATGGCTCTTATTTTCCAGTAGACAACCAATGACTGATCCCTGCCTGTGGGTTCTCTAAATTCTAGCAAGTGCTTAGTCAGTGTCTACTATGGGTTCAGACTTGGGTCAGGTACTTCAAGAAATGGGAAAAAATGTGTGAGCCCTGAATACATAGCTCTAGTTATGGAGACCAGACATTAGAACCACTAAAAACGTTAACAATTGGAGAGAAAAAAGTATATAGTCAGAGGTCAAAGAAAGGACACTGATTGTGAGCAAGGGTGGGTAAAGACATTTCATAGCTATGGGTGTAGGAGTTGGATATATGACAAGAATAATTATAAAAGGAAGAAGAAAGCTTGTGTGTATTGGCTTGCTGTTCATTAAACACCAGTGAATATAATTATTTAATTATTGAGACAATGCTACAAGGTACACATTATTAGCTTTATTAATAGACATTCTTGTCCAGGGTCACACAGCCATCTGGAATGCCACCCTGTTTGATCTGGTTCCAGGGTGAGTGTTTGAACCAGTGAGCTAGCCACCTGTCATCTGAGATTTGAGAAGGTTTTGTTTTGAGTTTAGTGAAGAGGGTCAGACGAGTAAAATGACACAGGTCAAGTAGTGTCTGGGTTCTCACACACCTATTCTCAGAGTGGATGTCTTGCACTGGGGAGTTGGCAGAAATGATAAAGATGCACAGTCCCTCTTTAAAGACTGTAAAATGTCAATTGTGTAATGTAATAATAACTGGAAGGTTAAATGGGATAATATTAAACTCCATCTTGAATGTCAGGTTGAATATATTATCCTTTTTTACATTTTAAAAATTGAATAATTTACTTTTTACTCTAATCCCAGTTCCCCCTGCCTCTGCTCCCGCTCCTCTGGCTCCCCCTCATCTGCTCCTGTCTGTCCTTGAGGGTAAGGCCTCCTGTGGAGGTCTACTAATTCTGCTGTATAATCTTGAGGCAAGACAAAGCCCCCCCTCCCACCCCCAATGATGGGCATTGTTCATGAGCAGCAGAGACAGCACTGGGTGAGAACAGTTGAGGAAAAGTCAGACAAGCTGAGCGGTGCATCTAAAAGCCACTGGGTTTCTGTGGCTCTTTCATGGTTTTAGAATATAAAGCTTTATTTAAATTTTTGTTTTCAATTTTAAAAATTGTAGGTGTTTTATCTACATGTATGTCTGTGCACCATGTACATGCCTGGTGCCTGTGAAAAACAGAAGAGAGCATCAGATCCCCTGGAGTTCCTGGTAGTATAGTTGGTTATGAACCACCATGTGGGTACTGGGAATTAAACGTGGGTCCTCTAGAAGAAGACACCCCCCACACACACACACACCCTATTATGGCAAAAGCAGACAACTTATTTATCTTAAGGTACTCTCAATTTAAAAATGAGGAGTCAAGACACTCATAAAAATGATCTAGACAACAGAAAACAACCAGTTGTCCATCAGTGAGGATAGTTCAGCTAGCTCTCCGTGCCATACTCATAGCATGGTAGGCCATTCAACCACCAAAAAGGAATAAACAATTGACATATAACAACTACCAACCAAAAAAAAAAAAAAAAAAAAAAAAAACAAAACAAAACAAAAAAAATCATGCTTAGTGGAAAGCCAGATGCAATGAATCCATGCCACGTGATCCTCATTTTTTAATGCTGCATAACCAGCAGTGCTAATCTATGGTGAACAAACTCAAAATATCAAGAGCCTTGGGGCTGGAGTGGGTGCTGACTGGGAATGGACAGAGGGCTGAAGTTAATAAGGCAGTGGCACCGTCTGTGTGTCATGATGGGAGTTTGTTTTCCTTACGCAGGAAAAAGTGTCTGACAAATTCATCCAATGCTCCACTTATGACATGTGTGGCTTCTTATACCTACCTAATTCGCATTTAAACAAAGTCTAAGATGTTATTGATTCTACTAAACAGTTGGCAGGCTGAAGGGTAATGGACATTTTCAATCAATTAAAAAACTCACCAGAAAAGATGGGAGAGGCTGGGGCAGTGGCTCAACAGTTGAGAGCACTGGCTGCTCTTCCAAAGAACCCAGGTTCAATTCCCAGGACCCACATATAGGTCACAGCTGCGTGTAACTCCAGTCCCAGAGGACCCAGCACCCTCTCTGGCCTCTGAGCAGCATGGGCAGATCAGCTGACTCCAGAGTAAGCATACACCAGGCCATGATAGCTCTTCTTCTTTTTCATTGAAGTACCTTTTTCATAATATATATATTTCATTCTGATTAGTTTTCCCCCCCCCCCTCAACTCCTATGATAGCATTCCTATTGGTGGAGACCTTGCCTCATATTTTCACAGGTGAAGAAAAAATGTTTGCCACCTCCATGCAGTAGATACCCCTTTTGTAACAAATTGCAATAGCAGAGCCTGCTGGGTTTGCCTTTTAGAGATAAGGCAGAGGCGGCTTATCTGTAGGTGAAGTGGGCCGCCTCTTTGCTCTCAGTGTGAATCTTCGCTGGGTCTTCTTGAGATGCATAGAGCTGGGTGTGGTGGCGCCCATCTGTAATCACAGCATTCGGAAAGCTGAGGAAGAAGTGCTTAGAGTTGAAGGGCAGCCTGGTTTACAGAGTGAAGACCTCAGCAACATAGGAAGGGAGGGAAAGAGGAGAGGAGAGGAGACACCAACAGGTGGGGCTTGTCTAAGGGTTCCCTTCTTTAGGCTGGAGTCTGGCCTCAGCCAGTGAGGCGCATGGCATGCCTTCAGAGTGTCTGCCCCAGCTTGCTCCTGGAGGTTGGAGAGAGGGTCCAGAGTGAGTAGGGGGTGAGGCTCTGCTTATGTTCTTAGATGTGGCACTGGCTTTGTTCTTCTCTCCAGGTGATCGGGTTGCCATCGAGCCCGGTGTTCCCCGAGAAACAGATGAATTCTGCAAGATTGGCCGATACAACCTGACCCCCTCCATCTTCTTCTGTGCCACACCCCCGGATGACGGGAACCTCTGTCGTTTCTACAAGCACAATGCAGATTTCTGCTACAAGTTAGTGCCTAAAGCCTCCCTGTACTGAGAGGGAGGGAGAGGGAGAGAATGTGTATGTGCCACTATGTAGTTCTGGCTTGCCACAAACTCAGAGATAGTAGATCAAGATAATTAACCTCAAACTGCCTGCTTTGTGTACCACCATGCCAAGCTCAGCATTAATTTTAAGTGCAAGGCACTAAAACTCAGGCCTTCCCTTCTTGGTGGCACTGAGGGAAGGTAGCCTGCCTGGGGCTCAGTCTGACTCACACAGGTCTTTCAAGGTATCTTTCCATTACCTGGAACAGTAATAGAAAATCATTGCCAAAATCACCTCGTTCGGCCATTCTGGAGAGAACTTGCCATAACTCACCCTTTATTTTAGTTTCCATTGCAACTACAGAGAGGAAAAGTATAGTAGGTGTGGCATCCTGCACCTTTGATCCCAGCACTGTGGTGGCTGAGGTAGGTCTGGTCTATGTAGGTAGTTCAGGCCAGCCAGAGTTGTATTTCAAGATACTGTCTGAGAGACGGAGGGAAGGAAGGAGAAGGGAGGGAGGGAGAGAAGAAAGAACTAACAGGGGCCTCTGCATCAACCAGTAACACCTTACAAGGAGGAGCCTGAGTGTGGTCTAGGGGCACGAACCCTGGCATGCTAGGTCTGTTCCCTCCTTGTGTCTTTTAGGCAGTGCGTGGATTCTTACTCCATACATTTGCTTTCCAGGCCCAGTGAATGATGAATAACAATGGGTTGAGTACCATTGTTGCAGTTGTATGCCAGGCTTCACTGATGCAGAAGAAGCTAGTGAACTCAGGCACACAGCACAGACAGTGTGTAAACTGCCCTTCCCTTGCCTGGGACAATCTTGGGTTGAGAAGCTGCATCTAAGAGATGCAACGTCCCGCATACTGTACCATGTGCTTTCCCTCTGTCCAGCCTGACCAGAGGGAACTCTCGGCCACTATGGGGTTTGTGTGCTGTACCACGCACAGGGATAGTCTGACAGGTCTAATTGACAGGGTTCTTTTCTTAAGTTTTTTTTACTTTCTGTTTTGCCTCCTCTTTCTCTCCTTCTTCCTTCTTCAACAGGATATCACTATGCAGTTCAGGCTGGCCTGTGATTGATTCACTATGTAGCCTAGGCCAACATCAAACTCATACCAATCCTCCTGCTGCTGCTGCCCAAGTTGCTGAGGTTATAGACAGGTGCCCCACATCTGGCTAGATCTGAGATTTTCTAGTACTCCTTGCAGATCCTGTAGTAATGATGGAGGCCAGCACCTGAGACTGCGCTAGAAGAAAGCAGGCTGTACGGGTTGGATATGCTTTTCAGTGAGGGATTCCTAAATCCCTCTCTTTTTCTGGGTCATTCACCAAGTCAAGCCTCAGACAGACTTTCATGGGAGGCAGAGGAACACAGTGGTAAAGCTTAAGACTGTGCCATTTGCTTACTTTACTGTATGACCTTAACCAAGGTCTTTTTACAGGCAAGGTCCTCAATAGCCTTGCCTGTAAAATGAACATCATGATGGTATCTCCCTCCCCAGAATAGAGTAAGAATTCAGCGAGAAGAGTGTATCAAGATTTCCACATGGCAGGTGCTCAGTGTTGACTGTGAGGCCTTAGCTTTGGTCTTGTGGTCTGAGGTCCAGGTCCAGGCCTGAGAGGGGCGGCTTGGCTGAGATGGGCTTGGCGTTGGTTTGTATGGGGTGTGGCAGTAAATGATATACTGGTTATCCGCAGTCATGCAGATCTGAGGGGAATTTCTTGTGGCCATGTAGCTTCTGTCTTTCCTTTAAGGCTTCCTTCCGCCTCTTCCCAGTGTGGCTCTGTCCTAGCCTTCCTCTCTGATTCTGTTTCTGAGGATTCATTCCCACACAAACACTGCCTCTGCATTTCCATCCCCGTATCTTCAGGTGTTTCCATTCCTCCTTTTATCTCTTCCCTGAACCCTATTGTGTGGCCTGTCCTCTGGTGTTTGTAAGTTACAAAGGTTCAGGTCAATGAGTCCCATAGTTCTCTCTCCCTGCTGCTTTTAGAACCCTGGTCTTGTGTCGGCATGGCTGGACCCTTGCTCTCAGCCTCTTGCAGCTGTGAGGAGGCAGCTGTGGTGTCTTCACTCCACCTCACTCTGCCCTCTTTTCTGGGTACCCTACGAAGAGGTCAGAGAGGAGAGAGGAACACTCACCTTAGAACCGTTCTTAGCTCTGTTGGAAAATGTGTATGTATGTGTATGGAAAGGGGGTGGTCCTTGACAGTTCAGGAATTGTCCTGTTTCACTTTCCCCCTTAGACAGGGTGAGCAAAGTGTGGCTTAGACCGTGGGGCATGATGTGGGAGAAGCCGTTTATTCTGAGGAACCACAACACTGATGAGGATGGCTGCCACATTTATTTCTTTGGGGGACTTGTAGATTTCCATGTTTGTAGGTGTTACTGGGAACTAAGGAAACATTGGATGGCAAGGAGCCAGCAGAAATAAAATAGCCCCAGAGTTCCTTGTGTCAGGAGGCATCTGACATGGGCCAGATGAGGGCAATCAGGACTCTCCTGCTTGAGTCTTCCTGGGAGTCAACCTTGCAGTCACTGAGCTTTAGTATTGTCTTCTCAAGAATAAAGGTGGAAGTAAAGCCTGCACTGCCTGCCTGACAGGGTCAGATGAGCTAATGGGTGAGAAAGCATTCTAGTCTGCCAAGCCTCCCTCACACACTCACTCTCACCATGAGCAAGATTGTGGATGTGGTTGAGATGCCAGTGGGCTCAGAAGAGAAAACCAAGGACCTAGTGGTGATGGTGACACGCTGTTAAATCTGCTTTGTGGAAGAGTCACGGGGCAGTCAGGCAGATGTGGTTCTGGAATATATCATGGGGGATGGTAGCAGGGAAATGGTCACAGTTAAGTCACCACTTGTCAAAGTGGCTAATGGTAGGGACTGCTAGAGTGAAACCAGACGTACCGAAAAGTCAAGAAGCTGAGTGTGGTTATGTTAGCTGTTTGCTGAATGAGCGTGCAGGTACAGTGTTCGATCCCCAGCACTGGAGGGGAAAAAAAAAAGAAAAAAAAAACAAAACAAAACAAAAACAAAACAAAACACCAGAAACCATGATGTCACTGAACTCTGAAGTGATTTCCTCAAAGAATTTTACTTTCCTGGGGCAGAATGACATGGCTTTTGGAAGCAAACATCTGGCTCCTACTTCAAACCCTTTGAGGCCTCACTTTGAACTCTTGAAGCCTAATTTGTTTCTTAGTAGACTGGGGTTAATAGCAAGTACTGCTGAACTGTTCTAACAGTGTTGAGAAAATGTGTTTAAGTAATTAGCACATTTCTGTACACATAATGCTTAAATGTTAACTATTGTTGTGGTGACCTTAGGCAAATACAGTGATACCAGCGACAGGATTGTAGCATTAACACTGTAGTATGGTAGTGTAGTATTAATAGCATCATCGGTACCATAATTAAGCCAGAGACCCTGATTGTGTGTGCTGGATTACTTCTCAGGCTTCCTGACAGCGTCACCTTTGAAGAAGGGGCCCTGATTGAGCCTCTCTCTGTGGGGATCTATGCCTGCCGTCGAGGTTCCGTTTCTCTGGGGAAGAAGGTTCTTGTGTGTGGAGCTGGTAAGAAACAGGGCACTGGCTGTGGGTTCACTGGCTGGGGATGAGGGGATCCCTCCCCTATCTTATCCCTTCTCCAAGAGCTGGCTTTGGTTATAGACACTTTCTGGGTAGGAGGAGGATTACAGTGTCTTATTCAACAATGATCAGCACTTGGCTCAATAAAGGAAATGTCTCAGGCAAATGTAGTGACACATATCTGAATCTCTGCACCAGCAGGCCAAGACATGAGATTTTTTTTGTGTGTGTGTGTGTGTGTGTCCCAGGCCAGTCTTGGCTACCTATTGACACCCCATCTCAAAAATCCCAAAGAGATAAGTAAATAAAATGTCTATAAGCATGGTAGTGACTAACATTAGATTTCATAGAGAATATAACCCTTTATCCATTTAATAACAAGTAAATCTTGTAATAATTTTTGAACCCTTGATAAATCTAGGGAAATATTTGGGGTAGTAAAGCAAAGAGTAACTTTTGGAACTTGTTACACTAGAGAAATGGATAGCTGTGCCCTCTATGCAAAGAAAGTAGGTAGGCCCTGTTCACAGATGGAGGGACTCCATCCTACTAGGGGTTCCAGCTCGATGTCTTCCATCTCCTGCTTCTGGCTACTTGGAAGAAACCCCAGAGGTCTCAGACCAAGTCATTCTGGGTTTTTAATTGCCAGTGACAAAGACAAAACATACACACACACACACACACACACACACACACACACACACACACACACACACACACAGAGGAATTCACTCATAACCCATTACTCATGAGCCTAAAAGAACCACTGGACCACTGGTGCAGAATCAGCTACTTTAGTTTGGTGGGGTTGTTTTGTTTAGTTTTTTTTTTGTTGTTGTTGTTGTTGTTTTGGGGGGGGTTGTTTTGTTTTGTTTTTTTTTTGTTTGTTTGTTTGTTTTTTTTTTTTGGCTAAGGTTTTTCTGGGTAGCCAGATTGGCTTCCAACTCAGGATGATCCTGTGTTTAAATGCTGAAATTTCAAGTATGTGCCACCACCTCTGGCTAGGTTTTTATTTGGCTTAAGATTTTTGAAAACAAAGCTCAGGATAGCCTTGAACTTACACTTGTGACTCAACCTCCTGAGTGCTGGGATTACAGGCTTTATTCCATGGAATTGGATGCTCCTCTAAAAACAAAAACAGAAAACCTGGGCTATCGAGATGGCTCAGCTGATGAAGGTACTCACCACTAAATATGATGACCTAAGCTCAATTCATGGGGCCTGCATGAAAAAAGGAGAGAACCAAATTCTGACCTCTACACATGCCATGATACATGAACATGCTTGCACACATGTAGTAGATCTAGTAAGAAAATCATGACTCTGTAAATATTTTGTGTCAAGGCTGCAGAGTTGAAGCTGTGTAGTAACCCTGCCTGTATCTAGTCACTCTGTTTGGACATCTCAGGAATCATTTTCCAGTGTTTGGCTTTCTGGGAGAAACACAACAAAGTTGCTTTCAAAGGAGTATGTATAAAAAGCAAACTCAAAGCATTCCTTATTGCTCCATTCTGTGCGACTTTGTTTGTTTTTAAACCACTGCCATCTAACATGCAAATACCATGGAAGTGGGTGGGTCAATCCACAGAACTGCCTCACGGAAGATCGATGCTTAGCGTGTCAAGCAAGAATGTGGCTCTCTGGGGGGGGGGGGGGGGGAGAGAAGTGGTGTGTTCTGAAGTCAGGTCAGAGAAACATATCCAGATCTGATTCTTAGTTTCTAGTTCTTTGAGGTTTTCTCCAGTAGTACCTGAGAGAAAGGAAACTTTTTCTAGCTCTGAAATATGAGGAACCAAACAGAACATGCTTCCTAAAAAGAACAATCCTTCCTCCATTTGTTCACAACTGCATTATTCAGGAACAGCTTTACAAATCTTATTATATGACAGGCACAGACACACAGACACACACTTCCTGTCCATGGCTGAGGCAGGAGAGAAAGTTGATGTTTAGTAATGCAAAAATCTTCATTTTCTTCTTTGTCTAGGGCCAGTTGGGATTGTCACTTTGCTTGTGGCCAAAGCAATGGGAGCTTCTCAAGTGCTGGTGACTGGTAAGAAAGGTCTCTTTCAAACTTGGCACTCTCAGAAAAGCACTGATCCCTCATTTCCTTGCCCCCAGTTCCAACTCTTAAAGGTTGTAGCACCTCAGAACTCCACACTGGAGGACAAATTTTGGTATGAATCTTTGGGGGGAACAAATGTCTACACTTCCTGAAGAGTTTTCCCTCCTATCTCAAAAGTGGGTTCTAGAGCAGGAAAGCCTGTCCAGGAATGGCCAACTCAGGAGACATCTCTATTGTAGGCAAGATGGTAGCTGCTATGGAGAGGAGACTGGTTCCTTATGTATAGGCCTCACACTACCTTCTTAATGTTGAGAGGAGGCTCAGCCTTTGGTTTGTTTGATCACATTTAGGAGGCAAAGATTGTTTGTGTGTGTGTGTGAGAGAGAGAGAGAGAGAGAGATTGTGTACATAGCTATTTAGAAGTAATTGTATATGTAGCTATTTAGAACTGTGTACTAGGTTGTGTAGAGGTGTTTTGCACGAGGAAAGGGTACCTTTGAATGTGTGTAGCCATGTAGCACATAGTAGGCAATGTGTGAGGGTGTGGGGTCAGTTGGAGAGTGCTGCATCAGCTCTTACACCTCCATTGTGTTTTCTTCCTAGTCAGTTATCCATCCACCTTCCACATTTAAACTAACGTCTGCTTGCCTTTAGACCTATCTTCCTCTCGGTTGGCCAAAGCCAAGGAAGTTGGAGCTGATTTCACCCTCCAGATTGCCAAAGAGACCCCTCGGGAAATTGCCAGTAAAGTGGAAGGCATACTGGGAAGCAAGCCGGAAGTCACTATTGAATGCACAGGGGCAGAATCCTCTGTCCAGACAGGCATCTATGTGAGTGAGCTGAGGGCAGCTTGGGGGCGGGGACGATACAGAGCAGCTGTGAGCTCATCTGCAGTGAGCTCTCTCAGGCAGCTGTGCGACCCCCAAATGACCAGCTGACTCCTTTCCACTTTGTTTTCTTATGCTTTGTGTGGACTTGCTTTGAGCCCTCAGTGAGTCATAATGGGGTTCAAATGTGAAAAGCAGACACACATGCCACTTTAGTAGCATCAAGCGAGTACCTGTACAGCAGTGCTCTCTTAACAAGATCATCAGCGGGACAAACGGAAGCATGCCTTAGTAGAGTAGGGAATTCCTATATTGTTTTATTGAGGAAAAACCCCCAGTAATTCAGTTAGTCACCAAGGTGAGGTGAATTTTCAAGGCCAAAGTTGGTGAATGGACTTCTGTCTTCCAGAAGTAGGAGCAGATAAGCTACCTGTGCCTGATTCACTCCCCAATGTTCCACCCCCTCCAGCAACTTATGAGAAACAGAAGTTGGCGTGGGGGAGGGTGTGGCATTGACAGAGCAAAGTACAAGGAAAAGAGGAAAAACAAGCAAGCCCTCTTGTGTGCCAGTTCTCTGCTGGGCACTTTTGTAAGCACGATGCCTCTGCACCTTCGTTCTGAGTCCAGCTGATGCTTTACAGTGAGCGAGAGTCCTGGAAACTTGCTTCTAAGTCTGCAGCAGGCTATAAGTCAGAGTCAACAGCCAACCCCAGCCCTGGATGGGAAGGATTGAATAAACAGCTATGCTAGGATGGGAGGGCCTCAGCTGTGAGGAGCTCGTGCCTCTGCCTCCTAGACTGCTTCCCCACAGCGCCATGGGCATCTCTTTTCCTTCTGAGTCATAGCTAGTTCATGCACAGGGCACTTTGCATCACGTGAGATACTCCAGGAAGGCTGACCCCTCAAGCTGTGGCACACACCTTCAGACATAGAACTCTTGTAGAGCCATATTTCCTTTTATCAAGATGCTTAGTATCACAGAGGGTGAGGAGGTGACAAGGGATGAGCAAAAGTCACTTGATCGTGTCCTGAGTTTCTTCTAGAGTCAACCAGCCTTCTCTTCTATTCTCAGCAAATTGTCTCTATGTGGGAAAGGGCAAACCAAATGCCAAACTATGATAGATGATGCATCTGTGAGCGGTAAACATTCACAGTGTTTCTAGGGTACTTATTGGGTGCCAGCCTTTGTGTTAGACACATTGCAAGTTACGACAGCAAGGAAGGTATTTCTGCTATCTTCAGATGGCCATCAGGTCAGTGATATCACACCACAGAACAGCAATGAAACTGAATGGATGTGACTGTCCTTCCTCTTCTTTAGGAACAGATGTCACCTCCAGTAGTTGATAGTATAGGCCAGTTGCCAGGCTGCCAGAGGATGATGTATAGGTGAATGTGATATTAGGTACTCCCTAAACATGAAGTGATGTCTCTTAGGGAGCCATCATTCATAGCAGGCACTGCAGAAGGTATGGCCACACTGCCAATGAGCACAGCAGGCAGTAGCACCAAATATGGACACATCTGAGCATCACCTTCCTGTTCATGCAATATGGCAGATGTCCTTGGGTAGAACTGGTGGCTTGTCTTGGTATAACTGACCCTGCCCAGAGTGATCAAATAATTTGAGCATTCCTTGGCCTTTGCCCAGCATATTTCTGTCTGCTGTTACTTGGAATAGCCAGCAGGTTCCTCCTCATTGTCAGGGAGGGCAACTCCTAAGGGGGAAACCATTTCCCTAGAAAAGTTGTTAACTGAGAGTTAACTGTGATTAAGCTCACAGCTTTGACCTCTTGCCCATTTCCATTGGAGACAGCCATGCCTTTTCCATTACACATATTCCTGGGTGGTTTGTAAGTGATTCTGCATTTCAGTGGAAACATAAAACAGCTGAACATTGAGCACACACTAGTACCAACCACTGGGATTGTTACCCAGGAGGTGCTAGCTGAAAGGCCAAGTCCATGTCAGGCCGCTCAGAGGTCTTAACACCAGGAGTGGCCTCACAGTGCTGCAGCCTGGAATGTCACCTGTGACCTGGGCACTGCAGGCCTCTCTCCATGGAATTTCTTACCCCTCCTCTCAAGAGGGGCTGGCTGTGTGCCTTCCTGTAGCTCTTTTTTGTAGCTTTCAGAATGGCCTGGGTATGAGTGCTTATGCCATGTCTGACTACCATTGAAATTTTTGCAGGACTGAATTGCTATTTTCCTGCTTGTCCCAGCAGGGAACACAGCATGCCACAGGGCCTACATTGTACTCACATGGCATTACATGCAAATTTCCAGGCGCTATTCCCTCCTCTAACAAGGAGAGTGACTCGCTGGAGTCACATTTCATGACATTAGCAGAGCACTGGATTCCCAGACAGATAGATAGTTAGGGAAGACAAATCCCTTATACTCAATACCTTTGAGGTGAAGAAGGTTCCTGCCTTCCTTCATCCTGTGGATGAAGCTGTTTTTAGACTATATAGAATTCATAGCCTGTTTATGTGGCAGCTACAGTTTTTTGATGCACAGTTTACTGATGCACTCAGAAGGTGGTTCCTTATTTATTTTCATTTTGATTTTTTTGAGATGTGGGATCTCACTATGGAAACCTGACTGACTTGCTTCACTCTGTAGCCCACACTGGTCTTGAACTTTCAGCAATCCTCCTGCGTTAGCCTCCTTGGTGCTGGGATTACAGGTGTGTGCCACCATGCCCAGCCAATACAAGCTGTTCCTAGTGTCTCTGATTCCCCATTAGTCACCCTTACGTTTCTGGATACCCTGCTGCTCTCTGCTACTCTGTTGGGTTTGGGTGGCATGGTTGGTAGTGTAGCAGGAGTCACATTCTCTGGCCCTCCTGTGTATCCTGAGTGGTCTTGTTCTTATTTCTTCCTTAGGCCACTCACTCTGGTGGGACCTTGGTGATTGTAGGAATGGGCTCCGAGATGGTCAATTTACCCCTCGTGCACGCAGCTGTGAGGGAGGTGGATATCAAGGGTGTGTTCCGATACTGCAACACGTGAGTATGCTGAGGGCGAACCAAGGTGACCAGCAGTCAGCGTGGCCAAGGCAGGTCCCATGCAGCCTCTGAGACCAGCAGTCTCTGCATGTTTATTCATGAGGGGCACTCCCTGACCACACTGCCAGCACAAGATATGATAGGACTGCTAAGAGAGAGTGTGTATTTCTTCCTCAGAGGGAGAAACAGACAGGGAGGGGGATTTTTGATCTGCCACTCATCACCCAAGTCTTCTTTTTCATTTCCTTAAGTAGCCAGACGTCCCCTCCTCCCCTTTAAAGGGAATTGGGGGTCTGTCTTGTGGGAGAGCCTCTTTTCACCCACCCTACCCCTATTCTACTGCTCCCTGCTTGCTCAGCAAGGATGCTCTGACTGGAGAATAGTGATGCCTCTTACTCCCAGCTTCCAGCTCCATGCTCTCAGCAGAATGCCTGCCCACTTTGCCTTATACTCTGCTGAGCTGTGCTGTTAATCTGTGGGAACGGGTTCTCTTGACATGTCCCGGGCTACCTCCCTGATGTTTCCTCCCTCTTCACACTGGCCTCTGTAATATAACTCAGTCAGTCCTTCACGCCAAAGAACTTCTAGGTTTTGTGGCACAAGCTGTAAACAAGGGGACAGAGCATTGACAACACTCTCTGTACTTGCAGATTACAGGCCACAGGCCTTCGGTTACTTTCTAAAGTTAAGGTCAGAAGGACCATGCTAGAAATAAATATGCTGAGTTGTTTCTGGACTTAGTGCTTTTGGGTAATTGCTAATAAAATGCTTATTATGTTCTCTTGCAGGTGGCCAATGGCGATTTCCATGCTTGCATCAAAAGTCTTGAATGTAAAGCCTTTAGTTACCCATAGGTTCCCTCTGGAGAAGGCTGTGGAAGCCTTTGAGACATCCAAAAAGGGAGTGGGACTGAAAGTTATGATCAAGTGTGACCCCAATGACCAGAACCCCTAATGTGAATTCATCTGTGCCCTCAGCTTACCTCTCAGCACCTAAATGGCTAGGAATGGGAGGCCCTTGACGCAGAGCTTTCTTTTGAATGGGAAAAAAAATAAATAACTCATAATAAGCAGAGAGCCTTAGGGGAGCTGGTGTACCTTAGAGACAGAAGTGGAGACACTTCGGGGACCTTGTAGCCAGAATGAGATGCTTATATTGAGGAAAGTCTCTTAGAGAGAGCAGAGTTTGGCAGATGGGTACCCAGAGTGTTCCCCTTCTTCTGGTACCTCTTTGGGTGAAGTCCCATAAAGCCATTGGGACTTAAGATGGAAGTGTCCCCATAGCAGATCTCTCAGTCTAGATGAATGGGTAACATCTGTTGTAGTTCAGAGAATGGTGTTTGTCAAGCCAAGTATCAACTGGTTTGATGATAAAAGGGGAATCAGAAAAGGAACTTGCCTTTTGGATCCAGTATTTAAAAAAAAAAAAAAATCAAAGGAATGAAACATCCTATATGAGGCACACTAGCTCACATTCCTCAAATGTGGGAAGAACAAGGGCACTCAGCCCCTTTCTCAGCATTACAAATATCATTACCTTCCCAACATTGCTCATTCACAGTAAGGAACAACGCCCCCTGCTAGGCAACCAGAAGACTTCCTTCCTCCTGAAGATCTTTAATCCTGCCTATTAGTACAGAGGACCACTGGAATGATTGCATTCCCCATTGGAGGAATTAGAAATCCCCTCGAAGCTTACTCACAGGTGATTGTTAACCTGTTCCACTCAGGTCTTGTTACCCAAAAATATTACCCTTCTCATAGCTGGGTAAGGTTGGTGGTATCTGGATGGACACCACAGAACTTTTCATCCTAGGGCTTTTCTGTATAAGATGTGGGTCCAAATCATACCCTTTGTGATTGTAAAATAATTAAGAATGAGTACATAGTAACTGTGATGTAACTTGGGCTGTCATCTTTAACCCACATCTTCAGCCGTGGGTAGAGAATGGCTGAAAAGACTCTGCTGGAGAAGATCATGGCCAATTCCTGAGCTTTCTCAAACTGCTTCGCAAAAATAAACTCTGTAGCTGGTGTCGGACCCTTGCTGTGGCTGATGTCTGTTTCGGGAGTAGATTTAGGCTGCCGCCTAGTTCATACAAGGAAGACTCTCAAAGCTTTAGCAGGGGACATTTCCTATACTAAATATAGTCTCACAAACTGCTAGAAACATAAGTGACAAATATATAACAAGTATCCTGCATGCAGGGGAAGGGTTTAGGCAAAAGAGTACAATACCTCTCTTGCCCCCTGCAGGAGTCAGGGTCACAGGACTTGTGTGCACACACACTAGGCAGCTCTGCATCCCTGCTGGCCAGCTCTTCCTCCTCCATCCTATTTAGGTAGCACCAGACTTCTCACTTGACTTCTCTGAAGACTCCAGCATGGGGATGATCAAAGATCCTCTAGCAGCAATGACAAAAGCCCCTGCCTCAGGAAGGGAAGGATTTCTCTGAAATTTACAAGTAACTGATTCTGGTTGTGCCCCAGTGAAAAGGGGGCCACTGGAAGGACTTGGGAGCCACAGAAAGGACAGAGAAAGGTAGAACCATGAACAAAGATGTGTCACTGCCTATAATGATGCTTGACACTTCTGGCTTCAGTTGGACTTTCTGGTGCCTGAGAAGTATGAAGAGTGGGTGGACTGATAAACGAAGTTCAGAGAGCGTGGTGGTGCTCGCCAGCACTTGAAGGATCCTATTTAAGGCCAGCTTAGTTTACATAGCTTGTGTATTAAACAAAACCCCAAGATAGCATCCAGCCCTCTGCTCCCAAGCTATGGCTTCTCTCACATATCCCAGGAGCAGGGGTGGGTGGGGGGTGGGCTGCTTGGCCAGCCACAAGCATGGTGAAGTATCAGGGAGTTTCCTTGGGTCTCCCTCTACATCTTTATCCAGATGCCCCTTAGAAGGGGCTGAAGGAAGATGGGGATTCATTCTCTCCACCTCCACGAGGCACTCAGTGTTGGCTATCTCAGTGATTCAGTCCCGGAACCAATAATATGAATTCCCCCAAAGCTCCCCAGCATTGGAAGGCTGGCAGCCTCTGTATGCTCTCACCAGATAGGGCATACATCAGTCAACATGGAGGACCCCACCCATTTGGCACTCCCAGTACTGGGATGGGGTGGGGTTAAGAGTAGGGAGCTGAGAAGAGGACCCTGCAGGTGTCAAAGGGAAGAGGGTAATTCAGCCCATAGGACCCCAGGGAGGCTGGCATATTGGCTCCAACGACTCCATCTTGCTAATCGCCTTTGGCCACAGCAGACTCTAGAAGAAAAGTCACGTCTGGACCTTCTTTCCTGGCTCTCCCAGCCTGTCTTGTGCAGCACAGCTTTGCTTTCTGTTTTGCATAAAGAAGGCACTCTGGCATAGTGATGCCAGAGGTCAAGAGTAGGGGAAACATACAGGATGTGTTGTTGACTATTTGCCTTTTCCTCAGAACTGTCTCTGTTATGATGTCAGCCTAGGCTCAAAGTTCAGAAAGCGAGACAGGGAAGCAGTGCTCAGCCAGCCAGCTAGGACAGAGGCTATGCCAGGCTAAAGATGGTGAGGCCTAATCAAAGGCTACACCCCTGGTGGCAGACGGTTCTCTGTCCCCTCCACATGCCAAATTCACGGGTTAAGGGCGGAACAGGGTGGGAAAGGGGCCGCAGGGCTGCAACTTTGTGAGAACACAGCTATGGGATGTGCTTTCCCAGACGCCAGTGGATGCATCTCTGGCACAGCTGTTGCTGTATGGTGTTGCCCAGCCCCCACCCCACCCCCACACCTGCTCTTCACTGCCTCTGCCCCTCACTCTCAGCTTTAAAAGCTGGAGCTGAGTCTGACACTGAGTTCTTTCCTGGCTGGCACCTGATAGTGGACAAAGGTATAGTTGATGTGACCACCATGGAATTGTTTGTTTCTTGGAGCCATGCAGCCTCTGAGAGGCAGTGTATCATAGAGGATTCATTACACAGATGTCTAAATCCTGGGCCAGCCACTAACTCACTGTGACACCACGTCACTTCCATTTCCAGCCAGCCTATGCTTCTCCTTTGCTATCTGAAGGGTCCTTCTGGGCAATCTTGAGGTCCCCTATGCACTGATACATTGTTCCCCAGGGAGAAAAACCCAATGGGAGCATCTCTTAGGCTTTACTGTTAGGATCTTTCTCTGTGTGAAGGGGTGGCTTGAGGTAGAGAGAACAGCCCAGCTCAACGTGGGAAGGGCTTCATGTGGAAATACGTACATTATGGATGTCACCTTGTTCTGTGTCTCAGGCTTGCACTGTGATCCTAAGTGGTCTGCAAAAGTCCAGAGATGGGTGCAGACAGGTTGGGCTCATCACTGCCCTGTTGTGGTCAGTGACTGGTCTTTCAGTACTCCACATAAAGCTGAAGGCAGAGGCACAACCTAGAAAGGGTAAGGGTACATCAATCCACTCATTGTGAGGAGGAACTATAGGAAATAGATGGGCCTTTGGGGGTAGTGGATCCAGTACCACTGAGGCATAGTAGAAGTACACCTCCCACGGGGCAGCCCCGGCTTCAGTGGGTGGTACTGAAACCCTATGGGTCCTGCCTAACCTACAGGCTCATGCTCACTGGACCACAAGCTACCAATCCACATAGGCCTCTTGTTACCCAGGGTCTCACTTGTGGGCCTCTTCACAATTCTCGGAAAAATCACTCTCCACATTACTTTTTGAGATACCTTCTCTCACTGTCCCTGGAGCTCATGGTTTGACTAGGCTGGCTAGCCAGCAAACTCCAAGGATCTGCCTTATCTTCGTCTCCCAGCTTTGGAATTACAGAGCCTCGGTGTTCTATTGGCTTTTAACACATGTGCTAGATATGGAAGTACTTGTGTTCTCACACTTGCACGACAGGCATTTTATCAGCTGAGCCATTTCTACAGCCTGTGAGTATACACATTGTTATTGAGACCAGGGAAATCTTTGAGGTCCCAGGTTATAATAATGCGAGAGGACTTGTGCATTGGGAAACTCTCAGGGACAACTGAGGGTGGGATCATAAAGCCACTGGCTAACTGACTTCAAATCATTTGGGAAAATGCAGGCTTGATCCTCCACCATTCAAAACTTGAACATGTCTCCAGGCCTGAGTCTCCATGTTGTTAATAGCAGTCATCCCTTCAATGGCTAGGACAATAATCCCTGTAGGGGATGGTGTGGGATTATAGGGAAAGTGTCTCGGTTACTATGGAGTGGTGGACCACCACCAATGGATCTGTACTAGAAGCCTCCCCACACCCCATATGGCCTCAGTGTCAAGACATATACCTTACCAAACCTTGCTAACTCACTAGGAAGAAGCAAGAGCCATACAAATGTCCCTTTGCTGTTCTGGCCTCTCTTTAGTAGGTCTAACTCTGTGTGTTGTGGAATTAACTGGATTCGGTTTTAGGATGCTGATCTTGGATTATTTAAAGACTTGACAACTTAAGACTTTAGGAGAAGTTCTGAGTAACTCAAGTAGGATGATCACGTCACTCTTTATTCTCTTACTGTAGAAGTATACTGAATGCTATGTTCGTCTAACAGTACACATTTTAGGTGCTGTCTGTTCCCATGAACACCTGAGTGAAACATGTCCCTTGGTCACACATCACATGGCATAGGACAGGGGCACTAGCCTCAAAGTCATCAAGAGTTATTGGTTCTTCTAGGACTGGCAAGGCAGCCCAGTGGGTAGAGATTCTTTCCTCCAAGCCTTATGACCTGAGTTCAACTCCTAGGGATCACATGGTAGAGGGTGAGAACTTACTCCTATAGGTTGTCCTCTGATCTCCATCACACACACACACACACACACACACACACACACACTATAAGAAAAGATTTATTGATTCTCAGAAGCTTAATGGGGGAACTATTATCAGCAAATCAAGAGGTCAACATATGATCTGAGAGGGTGTGAATGAGGAAAAAACTGAAGACAAGGAACTGTTAATCCAGGGCAGAGTGAAGACAGTGACTCAGCGGCTGCAGGTCTGTGAGGCAGTTGGACTTT